GCTGCAGTTAAAACAATGTAAGCATTAGATTTTGAAATTCTTCATTAAGGTTTTAGAAAAGATGGACGATGATTGGAAGCATAACATTATGGAATACATAATACAATACAAAATTATACATGGAGATGTATAATTTTTAGAATATGAACTGGAAATAGGTGTTTTAATTAGGCTTTGGAAACAATTCAACATAACAAATCACTCAGCTTATTTAAATGCCCTTTCAGTCAGCGGAACCTTCATTTGCAGCAGTACTTTTCTACAACACCTAAAATTTACAGTGTACTGCTCTGCATTCAGGAAGGCATCAAAAGCTAAGTGAAATATTACTCGTGATTTTTAGTACCAGAACTACAGGAACCTTAGGGCTTAACCCAAAGCTTATTAAAGACAAAATTATTGCAGATTTTAGCAAACTTTGAAACAGGAGCTTTATTTTGAAGATGAGAGAAGAAATTCCGAAGTATCTTTATAGGACATACAGTATATATGCAATCACTTATCTCTCTCCAAGGAAATGAATCAGTAAAGAAAAAACACGACTAAGATGACAATTTGAGATGTCTAGCTTCTCTAACAGTGAAGCTAGCTATTTTTCATGCTAGACATGAAAAATAGCATTAGCACAAAGTGCTATTTTTCAATGAAAATTCATACCTTCAAACATAGACAGATGGAATTATTTCCATGAAACTGATTTTATGGTCCTTACACTGCAGTCAGTTTCAGAGAGAACCCCCTCTTCTTAGGACATTGAATTTCAATTTAGTAAGACATCAAGAAAAAAAAAGGAGCCTACAGAGAGCTCAAAGAAAACACTCACAATACAGACATGGTTTGAAAATATAGTTGTTGCTGTACTGAGGCAAAGTTACAGCGACTAACACCACCTTTGAGTTCCGAGACATCTATATTGCAGGGACCCTGGTTTCTGTAAAAGATGATGGCACCATAAGTACCTTAGAAGACCCCATCCACTATCCACTCCAGAAGTTTATCCACATTTCCGACATTCAGGGCAGACTCAGTGCTGCTGTCAGCAAAAGATCTAGGACTTCACGGTTGTTTTTTAGGATATCAGTTTAGAATACTTTTTATATGCAAATGTAGTAATACATTTTTATATCACAATCGCATACTTTGTTCTCTTCTGGCATCTTACAAGAAGGTTGATTGACTTTTTTCCCCTGATATAAGCTATTTGAGTTGCCTATATTGCAGTTTAACATCTAATGTTTTCAAAAATCTTACAAAATAAAAATAAAACATTTACCTATTCCACTGATTTCTACACAGCTTTAAGTAATCCTTGTCCTATGACTGCTCTTAATATATAGTTGAGACATCTTTACATTCGTATAAATTACATAATATAAATTACATATAGATTACATTTAGTACTGTATAAATGCTATTGTGTGATACACAGGAATAAATTGTTTTGGTTCCTCATCAAGACCACATGAGAACTCCATACACAAACCACATTTTCTACGTGACACCAGAAATTACTTTGGCTCATTTTTTGTACTTAAAAGTCAAAATAGGGAGAGACGATTACCAAATTGGAATCTAAACGGGAAGTCATGAAACGTGTGGTGAATATTAACGGATCAGATCATATTCCTCAAGTTTAACAAACTATTTTGGTGTTATGCTGACCTCTAAAAGACTGTTCCAGAACCTTCCAGCGGTGGGTGTTTTATAAACAATGTGAGGTAGCCCACATAAAACAGCTGTACGTTATATTCACTTCACAGATAAAGTGAATCACAGAATGTTTAGGACATTGCTCAAGGTCAAATACTAAATCAGTAACTAAAGTGAGAAATGATCTAACTTTGATATGATTGTTCTAACCACTACCCAATACTTCCAATTTGATTTTAAACAACAGTATCATTTAAACAACTGCAACTACAAACATGTTGGGTTTGCGTGGCAAGGTTTTGGCAGTCGGGGAGGCTACAGGGGTGGCTTCTGTGAGAAGCTGCTATAAGCGTCCCCTATGTCTGATAGAGCCAAGGCCAGCCAGCTCCAAGATGGACCCACTGCTGGCCAAGGCCGAGCCCATCAGCAACAGTGGTAGCACCTCTCTGATAACATATTTAAGAAGGGGAGAAAAAAAAACTTGCACAACTGCAGCCAAAGAGAGGAGTGAGAATACATGAAACAACTCTGCAGACACCAAGGTCAGTGAAGAAGGAGGGGGAGGAGGTGCTCCAGGTACCAAAGCAGAGATTCCTCTGCAGCCCGTGGTGAAGACCATGGTGAGGCAGGCTGTCCCCCTGCAGCCCATGGAGGTTAATGGTGGAGCAGATATCTACCTGCAGCCCGTGGAGGACCCTACGCCAGAGCACGTGGACGTGCCCGAAGGAAGCTGTGACCCTGTGGGAAGCCTATGCTGGAGCAGGCTCCTGGCAGGACCTGTGGACCCATGGAGAAAGACTGTGACCTTGTGGGGGACCCACACTGGAGCAGTCTGTTCCTGAAGGACTGCACCCCGTAGAAGGGACCCACGCTGGAGCAGTTCATGAAGAACTGCAGCCTGTGGGGAGGACTCACATTGGAGAGTCCTCCTGAGAGTCCTCCTCACATGGAGGACTGTCTCCCATGGGAGGGACCCCACACTGGAGCAGGGGAAGAGTGGGAGGAGTCCTCCCCCTGAGGAAGAAGGAGGGGCAGGTACAACATGAGATGAACTGACCGCAACCCCCATTCCCCGTCCCCCAGCACCACCTGGGGGGGAAGAGGTAGAGAATTCGGGAGTAAAGTTGAGCCCGGGAAGAAGGGAGGGATGGGAGGAAGGTGTTTTAAGATTCGGTTTTATTTTCTCATTATTATACTCTGATTTAATTAGTAATAAATTAAACTAATTTCCCCAAGTCAAGTCTGTTTTGCCCATGACGGTAACTGGTGAATGATCTCTCCCTGTCCTTATCTCGACCCACGAGCCTTTTGTTATATTTTCTCTCCCCTGTCCAGTTAAGGAGGTGGAGCACTAGGGTGGCTTTGGTGGGCACCTGGCATCCAGCCAGCATCAACCCACCACACTTATTAATCAAGAAAAGAGGTAGCTCTCTCACTTAATTCTGCCCCAGCCCCAGTATTCAAGAACTGTTCATTTGCAAGGGGGCAAAAGATAGAAGGAGGAAAAAAAATGCTGGGACAGGGAAACCTATCCTGGGAAAGAACACCAAACAGTTGCATAATTACACACTAAGCGGGTAACAACATTGTGCCTCATATCTAACCAAGTAGCTTGGCATACTTACACCCAGCACACGCCCTGTCGTGTTTTACTACCTACATGCAAGCATATGTACCCATGATGAAAATCAAGGTACCAATTACATAAATATGTTTTAATCCTTTAAACTCGAACCATTACCTGACAGTTGGATAAGCAAAATATTATATAGCACCACTTCAATGAAGCATAACATTTAGCAAAAGAGAATGCACATAGCATGAATCATGTCAGCATCGTTTAAACCAAACACTATGGCGGCCCAAGACACTAAAAAATAATGGACAAAACTACTTGCATTTCCACAACCAAAAGTAAAAAAAAAAAAATTCCTGTACTTGCTACCTTCTATTAGACTTAACATCAAGCCAATCGGATGTATTCACCTCTGTAGCTCTAGCTTGTAAGCGGGCACGTAGTTCCTTCTCTTTGCCAATGAACCATTCTTCCCATGGTGAAAGATTATCTTTCAAAGGTGACTCTTTCTCCCCCCCTGCTATTTCAGAGTCTTCAGCCTTCCTGAATTAAAAACAAGAAATGTAAAAGAATATTATCTGTAATATATTTGATTGAAAAGTTAAGCAGTGCTACTGCCTTGAAAAATGACATTTCTTTTATGGCCTATTGTGACAACAATGACATCATTTTTCTACTTGCTTAGTAATCTCCAGAACGGATAAATGGCATTTATAGTGCACCTCTGACCATCCCCCTTACATTCTACTTATTAAATTCTAGCTTGTTAGAGATTTTTTTTTCCCCCTGTTCCAAACTGTGGAACAGATTCAAGCATTACCTTTTATGAACTAAACAAAAGCTAACACCAGAAACATCAGAGTATCACCTTCCTTCTCACATAAGGAAACCAAGGGAAATCAGAGATTTAACATTAACATCCTGTCCTTGGTCACAGAGAGGCTCCATGTATCAAGTGGTCTTTAGCACGAGCAAAGGATAATCAAGAATATTTTTTCTTCCTTCAAGTCCTATAGAATTGGATTCATGATATCCGGCAGCCTCAGCATTAAGAGTCCATTTGCTCTAATAGGTAAAGTTTTCCACCCTAAAAAGCTTTCACAGAAAACATACTTAAGAAATATGGCTTGCGTACAATACTTGACGATGTTATACAAGGTTCTATTAGACTTTTAATAGGATACCTTGCATAACTCACTCATAACTTCTTTACTCATGAATAATGCAGCAATCCTAGCCCCAGGCCAGAAATATCTTTTATAATATTTTATACATGTACTATCTCATAAGTAAGACAGTATATTAGGCTCTAAGTGAACAAAAATTGAAAACATGCCAATAGATTTCTTTATAAGATTTCTTCTGTCTTATACAGAATTTTTTCTTAACAACAAAACATTGAAACTAGTCTTCACTTTAGTATTTATATGGACGTATGGGCTCTGGAAATACCTACCTACGTACACACTTCCCTACAGTGAGTAATTCTGTTTGCTGAATTCAAGCTACAGAAGAGGCATCCAAACAAGCATATTATGTTAATGCTTCTGAAAGAAATCTTTTAAGCATAAGATATCTGGTTTTCAATATAAATTATCAATAAGTTATCAATATAAAAGTATTACGTATTCACAGGGAACAGCAATACTCTGTTGCAAAACATTTTATGCCCCAGTAATCTTTAGAATATATTTCTGCGATACAAAGCATCTGGGGACAATGTCAGTGCTAAGGAGTTTTGTCCCACTTTCCTCCATTGTTGTTACCCACATGTGTGTGCGCTAACATGACTGTTCGCTGGTCAAGCTGTGACACGTCCAGGGGAACCGATTCATGCTGAAACTACCCTGGAAAAGGGTTGTTTTCCCCACACAGAATCAGCCCCCAACCCTCTTTATACTGTGCTGCCACAGAGATGTAGCACAACGGAACTGACAGCACACCCTGACACACAGACAGTGCACGGACAGAAGCAGCACAGGCCAAGCACTCCCAAGCCCAGCATCGTCCAACACATTCTGCTGCACCCTAGGGCTTTTATGCTACAGCGTTAACAAAGCCCAAAAATTTAACAGAGACAGTTCTTAAACAGGTACATATAATAAGGGATGCAACTTAAGAATGCATAGTAACACATTTTGTTAGAAAATAACTCTCTGAAAGTTTATTGAAGATAAGGATAAAAGTATTGTGCATTCAAATTCAGGAAACCAACGCAACTTTGTCCAGACTTGACATTTTGGGCAGGGATACTTCCTCAATACATTCTTTTGCTGTGCACGATTTGCATTATGGCACCTTGCACTAGAATAATGCTGACATATTAGACCAACCTGAGAAAAAGTACTAGTGGAAGGAATGAATTAAGAAAAATAATATTTACTATGTGTTTTCTTGTATCAGTAGTTATAAAGTTAAAGCTGTTAACTTCTCAAAAAATAATTCACAGTAATAAATTAAAAACTTACTGTATACAAGTAAGAAATAACAGAAAATAAAGTTTAAACAGAGGAAAACACAAGCTCAATACGAAGAACTGTTAGGAGAAACATTTCTCTTCTTCTGCAGTACTGTGTCTAAAGCTCCCAGATTGCACCGGAGCACAGACTGGAACTCAATCCTTCTCAGTGTGCATCCCAGCCACCGGTCGCACTCTCCCTGGCACACTGATGATGTATTTCGAGCCACACAGACCCTGAATTTCATGGGATCATTTTCTGAAATGCTAGCATGTTCACAGCTACGACCTTCCTCAGAATAATTAAAATAACAGACTTCGTAAAGCGCCACATTCTCAAGTGCACGTTTCTTTTTAAATAAGTATCTTAAATCAAATTAGATACATTTGGCATTAGAACTGAAGTCTGAGTAATAGAAAACACTGTGATTATCATTTACCATGTAGTCACTTAAGTCGCACCATCAAACATTACACTGATCCATAATGAAAGTATGAAAATGCCTAACACCATTTCACAAAGCCTCATTTTCAGCCTCTCTCTTTTGCAAATATTGCATTTCCCACGTTAAATGTCCGCCTCCGGCTAATTTTTGTGTAGTTTTAAGAGGACAACAACAACAAAAAGACTCTTTGAGAGAGCATGTGCATATGTAGGGGGGTAGTGGCTGTGTAAGAAGAAGTGTTTTTTATTATTACACTTTTGAGATCTTGGCAGTTATACACGGAAGCTGCTATATGAACATTTGGTAGACACTTACTACAACACAGCAGCAGTATTATTCAGATGCAGTGTCTGCATGAGTGAAGTATATATTGTGCCCGCAGTTTCATGAGATTGTTCTAACTCAGGCCCTAACAGAGGTTGTCTTCAGTTGCATCTTACCGCTGCCAGGGAATACTGCAGCAACAGGCCCAAAAATTGAGAGCTGTTTCAAGTAGCATCTCAAGCTGCAAAGACATGTAGTAGTTTGAGCTGACAAGGTACGTGAACAAAATTGCTTATTGGGAAGGAGTAAAAGGAGAGGTAACAGAAAACCTGAAACAGGAGGGACTATAAACTGGCTAATACCTTTTGCACTCTGAAGCTTCCATTTGAACACTTTCCCTGGACTTCTAGCACCTTTTTCAACAAATGCTTGTAAGAAAAGTTCAGTGTGGTCCACATTCCTTCACTACTCTGCGTGGAAGTTTGAGAACGACCTGGGAACCCTGCACCCCGTGAAGCTCAGCTGTCCTTCCCTTACCCCCACTGGCACTTTTAGCTCAGTTCAGTCTTGCTAGTTACATCCACCATCAGTTACTGCGCAGATCTGTGACACTTCCATTGCAAAGGTCGTATCCCAGAATGAGACAGGCAGTCCCGGCTCTTTCCCCTTCTATTTTAAAGGCAGGAACAAAAATTATTCTCCTGTTAGGCAGAGGAGATCCCAAGGGAAAGAAGGCAAATTAAGTTTGCATATAATTAAAAGGGAATGAAATTAAGCCACTGGAACAAGAACTGTGCAATGCATACACACAAAACTGACTCTGGATATAGCTATATACACTAGGCAAAATAGCCCTTTAGTCTCTAAGAACATTTAAAAGGCTGACAGGAACGGCTGTAGCTTTTTAACTTGCAAACACCCTGAGGCCCAGGTCAACAGCTTCTAGATAGTTTACAAACCCATGAAAATACTCAACTGCCCACAGAAAAGACTGCCATCACCTGCGACTTCTCAAGATATCGTAAAAAGGGAACGAGGTGCCTAAAGCGCTTATCTATGCAAACAAATTACGCTTATGTGAAATAATCTTCCGTCCCCAACGAAGGCCTCAAGCGGAGGGAGGCGAGCACGGGAGTCCGGCTCCTCACGCAAGGGGCGGCCCCAAGCTCCCTGCTCGAACCTGGGCCCAGACGCAGGGGTTACCTATCCCCGCGCCGGCTCCGCGAGGCCGCCGCCCGCTCCTCCTCCTCGCCGCTCGGGGAGCTGGGGCGGGACGC